CTTCCTGATAAAACCCTCAAACACAAGGCTTGGAGGGAACATAAAATAAAAAATATTAAGAGCCATGTAGGAGAAGTACACCAGCATACTGATAAACAGACAGAACTTGGAACCATTTCCTCTGAAAACTAGAACCAGACAAGGATGCAACCCTCACCCCTCCTGTTCAGCATAGTTTTGGAAGTCCTAGTTGGAGCAACTAGAGAAAAGAAAGCTATCAGGAGTACACAAATAGGAAAAGAGGAAGTCAAGTTATCTCTCTTTGCAGATTACATGATTATACACCTTGAAAATCCAAGCAAATCTGTCAAAAATCTCCTTGCACTGATAAAGGACTTTGGAAAGTCTCAGGGTATAACATAAATGCCACCCCACACCCCCGCCCCCACCTCCAGCCCGGGGATAGACGCTCACCTCGGCCGCCAAGGCTCCGCGGGGCCCGCAGGAGCGTGCAGGGTGCGCGGCCCTGCTCCAGCCCGGCTCCCCTCGCTCGCCCTCAGTCGAAAGCCTCCCCCCGCCGGCTCTGCTCACACTGGATTTGAGACTCCACCCACCACATGAGAAGCCCCGCCCCTGCCCCTTGAGAGGGCGCTCCCTCAGCGTTGAAGTCGAGTTCCCTGCAGGGGACCGCGCCTGAGCTGCTGAGGGCCCAGTAAACGTAACCATAGAGGATGAGAGGGTCGCTAAGGAATCGGGGATCGATCCGAGACACGGTGGAAGCTGCAGAAAGGAACATGATTTGATTTGATTTACGTTGAAAAAATTAGCGACCTCTCCAGCTGCCTTGTGAAGAATGGGTGGTGGGGGGCAAGAGGGCAAGCCGAGACACAGTACGAAGGGCAGGAGACGATGGGGACACCTACCACCGTGAGTTCACACGGGCAACCCCTTAAAATACTTCTGGCACATAGTAAGCCCTCAGTAAACATTCTTCTTTTTATTTCTCCTTTTTTTGTTTGGGACAGCAGTGCACTTGGCAAAGGTCCTATGGAGGATCTGCATCTGTAAATTCATAAGAATTAAAAGGATCTGGTAGGAGATCCCCTATTAACTGTGCTTCATCTGGGGTGCGGAATGAGATTGGTGGGTGAAAAGAGAACGGGGACTTTGTGACTTTGCAACTCTAGCTACTTTGACAAGGTTTGAATTTTTAACAAAAAGTAATTTTTAACAAAAAGTATGAATTTGGTTTTTAAGTATAAAGACAAAAGCATCATTCAAATCATTCCTGTGACATAGAGGAAATAAAAACTGTTTTGATACTCTCTAGTTCTAATTCCAACCCTCCAGAGCAGTGGTTCATGCCTCGAATTGAGAATCTGCTGAATGGATCTATTCCCCCCATCCCAATATATCCTTAAACATAAAAAAATTTTTTTATACAATCTCAGGAGATGTACGGAGGTCCTCTTTTAAATCGATTCTCATTAATATTTTTACAGTGCTGGCTGTGCATAATGGGTCACACCTGTAATCCCAGCATTTGGTGATACCCAGGTGAGAGGATTGCTTGAGGCAAGGAGTTCGGGGCTGCAGTGAGCTAAGATCGTACCACTACACTCCATCCACTGGGAAACAGAATGCTACCCGGTCTCAAAAAAACAAAAAAAATTTTTACAGTGTTATTTTAAATGGATGAATGTTTATTGCATTGTAAGGCTACTTATTTATTTAACTAAGACCTTATGTTTAGGTCTTTTGTTTTTAATCATAAGAAATACAGACACGAACTTCAATGTAACTAAATACTTGCATATTTCTAAGACTTTTCTCAAGAAGAAATTTATAGAAATGGAGTAGCTACGGTCAAAACGTCACTCCTCCCCAAAACACAAAACAAGCTCTCCAGATCAGTTGTATCAATATACAGTCTCACCAGAAATATACACGAAATCCTGCTTTTTATTAATTAATGTATGTATGTATGTATGTATGTATTTTGAGTTGGAGTCTCACTCTGTCGCCCAGGCTGGAGTGCAGTGGCATGCTCACAGCCGCCAAAGTCTCGACCTGCTAGGCTCAGGTGATCCTTCCGTCTCAGCCTTCCAAGTAGCTGGAACTACTGGTGCGCCACCACACCCAGCTATATTTTTGTTGTTTTTAATTGTAGAGACGAGGTCTTGCTAAGTTGCCCAGGCTGGTCTCAAACCCTTGGACTCAGGTAATCCTCTCCCCTCCACCTCCCAAAGTTCTGAGATTACAGGTGTGAGCCACCTTGCATGGCTAGCATGTAATTAACTTCAGTTTTGCTAGCATGTAGGCTCACAACTGTAATCCCAGTGCTTTGGGATGCCAAGTTGGGAGGATTGCTTGAGGCCAGAAGTTGAAGACCAGCCTTGGCAAAATAGCAAGCCTCTAGAAAGAAAAAATTAGCTAGATGGCTCACCACAGCAGTCTCAGCTACTTGGGAGACTGAGATGGGAGGATCCCTTGAGCCCAGGAGTTCCAGGCTGGAGCGCCACCGCACTCCAGCCTGGGTGAAAGTGAGACCCTGTCTCTTTAAAAAAGAAAAAAAAACCTTCAGTTTTGTTCTTTTTTTCATTTTTAAATCGGTTTCTCTATTACATATGAGTACATTATTGTACAACACTCAATACAGATACATTTAAAGTTCCCTTTACATTTATATATACAAATAGAAATGCATGGCTTTGTTTTGTGTTCACTTAAAAAA